TAAAAAGTACCTTTTAAGTTGCTAAAATTAGTAATAGACCGGGCGCTGGAGGGAGTTGAGTATGCATAATATGGGGACCGCATTCTGGGAATGGTTTTGAACTCAGAAAAGCATGTAGATAACGATTCTGGATATTGCCAGGAGCCATATTGGTCCAATTTTTTTTACACCCCACCCCCTTAGACGCGTACTAAATGGCCTGAACACATACTTGGATATGATTATAACTATTGTTTTAGTGAGAATATCCAATTGATTTTTGTAATTAAAGATACTTACAGCTAGTCAAATAAAAAAACAATCGGTAAATTGAAAAATAAAAATAATTATTATTGATACAAAACCAAAAATTATAAAAAAAATCAAGTTTTAATATGTATATCGTAAATAGAAAAATGATAATAATCAACCTTTTTCTATTCTGACGATTGTTATTTATGCATTTGCATAAAGAAATACAATAAATATGTAATATTTTACAAGAACAAGCCATCGTTTTACAATTAGATGCTCATTTACACGATTAAATTAACAATTTCGGTAGTGGTTGCTTGGTCATTTGTCGTGGATACAAATTATCATCCTTCCTTTTGTAGCCTAAGAAAATGTAATCAATTGGCTGTAGTTGAGTTTGGTCAGCATTTATCCTTACATATGTTTGTGCTGAAGCTCGTAATTGATGTAAATGTAGAGCATCTGATGTGCAAATAACTTTCAATTTTAGGTCGATTTATTATCGATTTCTAGTTATAATCATATCAAAGTATGTGTTCAGGCCATTTAGTACGCGTCTAAGGGGGTGGGGTGTAAAAAAAAAAATTGGACCAATATGGCTCCTGGCAACATCCAGATTCATAATCAGCATGCTTTTCTGAGTTCAAAACCATTCACAGAATGCGGTCCTCATATTATGCATACTCAACTCCCTCCTGGACTACAAAAACTTAGCATAGTTGTGAGTTCTGTGCTGATGATGTGTGTTTATATGTAGAATTAATTACGAGCACGTTTTCAATATTATCGTTTGGTAATAAAATTAAAATAATTACAAAAGGTGTGTGTGTGTGACCAGTGGAGATTAAACTGAAAGAAAAGTAATGTTATTCGTTTTTATAAACAGTATTATGATAGTTTTAATTAGTCAGCAGGTTGTGTACACACAAATAAGTTATTTTGTTTGAGTTGTTTGTTGTTTCCAAATTATAATAATAAGAATATGTTTTCATCTCTACTGAATATTCCGATTTAAATAATTTTCATAAAGCGTTGATGAATTTGTAATAGAGTTGATAGATTTGTAAAATATATAGATGTTAATTCTGACCCGACTGCTGCTTTATTCACGAACATTAGCAATGTTTTAGAGGAGGAAATGATGATGATTTTTTTTTAACCATACTCTGCTTCCCCTAACCCCAAATCTCCGTGCACACACCTGACTGCACGAACTATTTTTTGTAACATTTTACCCTAAGGACTAAAAGTCAACGATTATTGATATTAAAAGGATTTTTATATTCTATTTAAAATAGTTATATACAGATGAAAAAAAATACTCGTATTGTTTTATTCCGTGGTCTCATTCACATAGGGGCCGTTCAAGTATTACGTAAGCACTATGGAGTGGGGGGGGGGATCTTCGCTTTGCTTATTTTGGATGACATGGGGGGTAGCGGAACAGTGCCGTAACTAGGGCGGTGCCAGCAGTGCCCAGGCACAGGGCTCAGACCCTGGAGGGGCGCAGAAATGACCAGACTAGTATCTAGTTTTATGTTATGCATGGTAGCTATGTACTCATAAGTATACTTCGTTACTTTGGTAAACAATAGATAGATTTATTTGTGTGCACATTTGTCCATTTTTTTTTCAGAGCCTGGTTAGAGCATAATTCAGGAGCGCAGTTTTGTAAGCTCGCACCGGGTGCATAAAAGGCTAGTTACGACTTACGGCACTGTAGGGGAGTATAGATGATTATGTCATCGGTAGTTATTAATTTTTAATTGTCACATCGAGTAGATCTATAAAAAAATACGATTATAATTTTTTTCCAGACTTCTATTACAAAAAAATATAGTAATTGAAAATGTTTACGTAAGCATGGGGGGAGGGGGTAAGAGCTTTGCTTACTTTTGCTGACAAGGGGGATGGTGGGGTAAATAATTGTAATAAATCTGCTTACGTAATACTTGAACGGCCCCATAGGAATAGTGACATATTATATGAAAACCAACGTTTTTGTTAGTTGAACTAATTATAATTTTGAAAATTATGTCGAGAATAAAATACGAAGGAGTTTGTATTCATTTCCTACAGACGTGATCTGTGTATATATATTAATAGAACAAACTTTCTAATAAATACCAACTCATTTATATTATTAAAAAAACCCAAGAGGCAGTGATTAAAATTGTATAATAATGAACCTCAAATATTTAATATAATTATTGCTTAATATACATTATTCCATTTCTTACTAAACGCAAATGAAGAATGTGAAATGTCAGTTTGTCAAGGTATTGACGTTTCTTTGTTATCGTCAAACGTAACTTGCGTTAAAGACATTGTTTTGTGATCAAAATGAACTAGAAACTAAACGAATAATCTCTTAAATGATCTGAAGATATAGTTTATGTAGATAACTTACAGTATTACATTATAAAAGACTGTTATTTTTACACAATGGTTGATTTAAGCGGCGGACAAGACGGCCCTTTGGAACATGCATTTTCCAATTCAGTATTTATCGTGCCCGGGATTGTTGTTATTAGCTTAACAGGTAAAGTACTTACAGATAATCCTTACACATATAAAAAAACATACTAAAACATATAGGTCTTATAACATTAAGCATTATTCAATTGTTATTTAACATTCATCAATAAAAATTAGTTATGGATTTCAAAATGATTTGCTAATAATTTGTATGTTTAATTTTTATCGCCTTCATGTATAATTATATTTTTTAATTTCATATTTTTCGAAAGGTTTTATATACTATATTTTTCCTTGTCTTCACGAGTTCATTATGAATATATACAGACTTATCTATATTTTGAAACTAGTGTAATATTTTTATCTCAAAAGGAAGGATTTGACAACATTTCACTAATATTCTACTGTTCATTGTAACAATATAATATATTTTCCAAGTTAAGTGGTTTACAGAAAACTGTATGAATTCTCAGTGTCTCCAAGTAGCTCCTATCAGCTTATTTACTTAGCATACAAATCAATTTATTCTCAATACATAACTAACTTCTGTATCGTCATCAGCCTATCAGAGCCCACTGCTGAACAAAGGCCTCTTTCTCACATGGAGAAGGTTTGAGCATTAATCACCACGCTTGCTCAAGACGGGTTGGTGATTTCCAACTTATAATTGTGAAACTATAAGTCCAGGTTTCCTCACAATGTTTTCCTTCACCGTATGTCAGTGATGTCTAAATACTCGCAGAAAGTACTCTGAAAAATCACATTTGTACTTGCCAGGATTGAACTAGGTCACCACTGACCAAAATATACATATTATATATGTATATTTATATGTACAATAAATATTATGTATTAGAATGTCAAAGCCTCGTGTTCTGAAACTATACTTATGTATAAATAATTGTAGTTGTGTTTTTGTTATTTTAATTTTATCTATAAGCTAATAAGGATACATAGTGTTTTAAAAGCTTTATAAGTAATAAAAATAATATTTTGAAATTGTTATAATATGTCCTATAAATTGTCAGGATAATAAAAATCAAGATAATTATTTTTATTACAATGGACTGCTTAAGTCCTTTTTCTAACTTACAATTTCCCAGCTTTAGCCAGGGTCTGCCTTACACGTTGTGAATAGTTTTGGCTAATTGTTTTTATGACCGGCAGCCTGCCTGACATCAACCCTCTTTGGGAATAAGTGGACTGCTTAAGTCCCTTTTCTTCTATCTCCAAATCTGTCTCTATTTTAAATTTTATCAAATATATGTGTTTGTACATACAGATCTTGTTCATATGATTCTTTGTTTGTTTTAAGAAAATTAATATTTTGATTGTCACGGGATGCAACTTATAGTTTCATTATTTTAAGTGATTGGGAAATCACAAAAAATTTTAGATCTTTTAATGACATTTTATTTGCCTATAAAGATTGGATTAATAATGAGAAAAATTTAAAAAATATATGTTAAAATCAACACTTATGTTTCAAAAATGTATTCATTTCAGTTTTTAATGAAAATATAACTTGTAAATATAGGATTTAAGAAAGAAAATCATAATAAATAAGTATTGATTGATAAAAAAACTAATTGTGTCAACAACTACCATCTTTATTGATTTCCTTACAAAAATATAGAAATGCAGTTCTTAATTTATATTATAAATGTGAAGTGTGTATGGTTTATTCCATATTTACTATTACAAATAAAATAAACAAGTATATATATAACTTGTATATAGAAGAAAATCATTAAAAATTATTTTTTTGTTTAATAATAATAAATGTCGTTATAATTTTTTCTAAATAGCTTTTCGGCGCCAAAAGTATTGACATTGTTTTCTTAATGAAAATACAATGAGCGTTTAAGTTCTAAGCCGAGCCAAAGAAATTCATTTTCCATTAAAACATAACTTAATTTCTATAAACATAATATAAAAATGGTAATTATTGATTAATTTTAAAATGTTTTGTTTTAATGTGAATTAATTTTTTTTTTATTTTGATTCTTAAAAACAAAAAAAGAATTGTACAGAAAATAATAAATAATGTAAAAGGTACTTTATAATATGATATTGCAAATGTGTACTAATATAAAATATCTATAACATCTCCAAAAAAACATAAATATGACTTGAAGTTCACGATTATATTCAAGAATTGCATACAATCGACGTAACACTATCAAAATCGTCATAGCAGAGTTCACCGATGTCTAAAAGATATAAATTATAATCGTTCACTCATTACATTAACGTGCCGCGTGGTTAACGCGAGTGGCATATACAAAATGGCGGATAATATTGAAGAAATTATGAAAAATAATGATAAATATGAACCTACGGCTAAAGAACTCTTGGAAATGTTGGATTCAGCTGACCTTGATGAAGAAACGAGGCAGAGTTTGAGGAGTTTACTCGGTGGAGATGTGCCGCAATTTTTCGGCGGCACCGGCAGCGGCACTTTATTGGCTATAACATTTGCGGCACTTATATTTTCAATAATTTGTAAGTAATTATAATGTTTTTATCAGAATCGTCTATGCGATACGGGATTTGAAATGAGAAATAATAATTAATTACTGTTTTTAAATCGTAGTATAAGTGTCATTAAATAAAATGTTTTTTTAATTTAGTATTAACGACACGTCATGTTTTTTTGTAAACATGTGTTATTAAAAATGAATTAATAGAAATTAATCTCTCGTCATGTTATATTTATTTGTTATTTTATCAATACATTTATTATTATAAATCATTTTATGCAATTTAACTTTAGCATACATATGTTTATAATTATTATAAAAAATAGAATTATGTATTGTATGCTGTACTTCATTATATGTAATAATACCATTAATAATAATTTTCGAAATTATTTTAAATATATATCAATTTATATAAAAAGATAATGTACATATATCAAGTGATAGTTTATAAAAATGCTGCATATAAAATAATAAGATAATTAAAGTAAAACATTTAGGTCACCTATCAGAAGAATTTATCGATTACAAAAACATATTGATAACTTTTTATCACATTAAATGTTGAAAAATAAACATTTTCATTACATAACCATTATAATTATCATATTTTTATCACTTTTTCATTAAAGATTTAGTTAAAATTGTATCATATCATATAATTTTCAACCAATAATCGTATAAATTGATATGTTTTGATAACACCGCGGTTACGCGATAAAGACGTTCCAGTTGCATTAGAGACATAGTTTATTAGTTTATCTAAAGGTGAGAAGTTGTTGGCAAAATGAACGAGCAATATCTTAAAGAACAGCTGAATATAGGGAAGCTTATAAAGGAAAAAGTCGCGGACTCCTTGAGGAACGTGGATGTTTTGAATGTTTTGAAGAAAATGGTTGATTCAGCGCCAGAGAGTGAAGAAACAGAGGAAATAAGACAGCAATTGGATGGTATTCTGACTCAATACAACTCGTTGCCCGAAGAACAGAAAACTCAATTCGCTCACCAAGTGAAAGAGGCACTTACTAACAAACTGGCGAAGAAATTGGAGGAAGCGCCTTTAGATTTCGGTGAAGTTGAAACATTTTTGCGTGATGCCGTCAGAACACAAATATATTTGTACTCGGCTGCGGCTGTCATATTTGTTATAATTCTTGGTAGGTTTTATATAGAAATAAGGTTATATCGAAATATAATTATTTTAAGGTCACGGTGGCCTAGACCTGGACTTATTAGTCTAAGATCCGGCTGCAGAATCAGTGTACCCATCGAGTGTTTGCTGAAAACCAAATTTTTACACATATTCATGATTAGGAGAATTTATATCCACCAGGTTGCCTATCAAAAAGTGGCCGCTAGTATTTTTAATTAAATTATTAATAATTCATAATCCGTAAGAAATTTCATTGACTTTTTTTTTCAATGAAATGTCGTCTACTTTACGGCAACATCTATAAAGACTCTGAAAAATTATGGTTGCCGTTGCGCACCTGGCCGCACCTCTTCGCAGCCAGGTATACACAGGTATGAATTTGTTACTTTTATACACCCACAACGTACATTTATAATTTATATATCAAATTAAAGCAAATTTTTTTCTGTATATTATTATATACGGTTGCTTAATTAAATCTGGCCGCCAATAAGGGTTGCTGGCTAATAAATATAGTAAATATTAAAAGTAGAGTGAAAGAGAGCTAGCGCGTAACACCACTAGTCAGACGAGGATAGCGATTGCCAGCTGTCGGACGGTTTACAGCCATTGCGCATGCGTCAGATGTTAGTGTTCTCAACCTCCGATTCAAACAATAGTAGGTACGACTCAAAATAATAAATACTCCAAAAGAAACGTCTTTCTTTTCTAAAATAAAAAATTAAAAAGTCAATGACATTTTTTGTTACACAGGAAACACGCCTTCATCCTTATAAATTTTATTTCACTTAAATGAGATTGATAATTTTTCGATGCACAAATAAAACAGCAATATATTATGTTGTGTATTACGTACTCCAAACAGCGTGGTTTCGAACTTAAAATAAAAATCACAACTGATCCGTTGAGAACACTAACATCTGACGCATGCGCAATGGCTTTAAACCGTCCGACAGCTGGCAATCGCTATCCTCGTCTGACTAGTGGTGTTACGCGCCAGCTCTCTTTCACTCTACTTTTAATATTTACTATATTTATTAGCCAGCAACCCTTATTGGCGGCCAGATTTAATTAAGCAACCGTATATAATAATATACAGAAAAAAATTTGCTTTAATTTGATATATAAATTATAAATGTACGTTGTGGGTGTATAAAAGTAACAAATTCATACCTGTGTATACCTGGCTGCGAAGAGGTGCGGCCAGGTGCGCAACGGCAACCATAATTTTTCAGAGTCTTTATAGATGTTGCCGTAAAGTAGACGACATTTCATTGAAAAAAAAAGTCAATGAAATTTCTTACGGATTATGAATTATTAATAATTTAATTAAAGATACTAGCGGCCACTTTTTGATAGGCAACCTGGTGGATATAAATTCTCCTAATCATGAATATGTGTAAAAATTTGGTTTTCAGCAAACACTCGATGGGTACACTGATTCTGCAGCCGGATCTCGTACTATATGATTTCAAATTATAAGTTTGAAATCACCAAATCGTCTTGAGCAAGCGTGGTGATTAATGCTCACACCTTCTCCATGTGAGAAGAGGCAGCTCAGCAGTGGGCTCTGATAGGCTGATGATGATGAAATAATTTCACATCATTATATGGATTTCAATGGGAAATACATCAAAAGTGTATGTTTGGTTAAATCAAAAGAAAACATATACGAAATTTGATTTTTTTATCAATACATAATGTTTATTTTAAGTTATTTTTGTAAGAAAATAATTTACATAGATTTTCTTTGCTTAAAATTTTTAATTATATATCCTATATAAGATTATAAGCCAACTATAGATAAAATGTTTATCAAAAAAATAATTTTTGTCATATCCTTCTTTAACTTATCTATATATAATTAATATTCTTTATCTCTAAGATATAATACTACTAATGAAAAATCGTATAACCTTGTATTTTTTTCAATGAGCAACCAACATATATATTTATCATTTTATTTCCAGTATTCTTCGGCTACAAGCTGTACAAGTCTATAAAAGAGAAAGAAAAAAAGAAAGAAGAGAAGAAGAAATTGAAACAAATGAAAAAGAAGAAATAAATAAATGAAACAAACCGTTAAAATCTTCGCGGGAACATGACGATAGATTAAAAACATGATTTCGGCTTACATTATTTACATGATGTTCTGTTAATTTATTAAAATTCGGGCATTAATGTCAACGACTGATTTTATATATAAAAATAATTTATTTTTCTATATATACATACATATAATATTAATTTATTCTTTATTTATTTGACCGTTCAGAATATATATTAAATATTTATTTTCAGAATGAGCTGATATAAAATATAATGTTATTTTTCTATAAATTAAATCTAAAATATGTTATTATTTTTCTAGTGCTATCTGTTTGAAAGTTTCCGATATAGAGATTTATAAAATGGTTAATATCCAATTTCAATATATATATATTTAATATAGATATGAGAATTTTAAAAAATCAAATTTTAATCACTGACAAAACTTAAGTTTGTATCCATAGTATGTTTCATAGTTACGATACTATAATAGTTAACTATCAAACTATCAGTAAACTGGTTACGTATAAAAACTCGTATTAATGAAAACTATATTATAGAAGTTTCAAACTTTCACTGCATTTAGTACTGTCCTATTGTTCTATTCCTCGTATAAATCTTGCCAAAATATTTGTAAGTTATGTAGTACATTCCATGTACACTGTTTTTAAAATATATTTTTTGTTTTCAATAATGTATATTGTGTTTTAATTCAGTCTATCTTGAATTTTTATCAAATAATTTACAAATTTAAACAATAATGAGATCTAAGACTAAAGACTTAAAGAGTACCTACCTACTCAATTAAAAGAAAGTAATATTTTTGGATTATTATGCTTTTTTTTTTGTTTTAACAACTGTTACTTGTTAGTAATAATTATTTATAACGATTTAAATTGTCTTCTTCACAATTCTAAGCTTAACTTTATTTATATTCTAATATTTAAAATTGGTTTTTAAACAATTTACAATTAGAGCCTTAGCATGTTTTAAATAATGTTAAGTGTTTTATTATTTAATGGAAACTCTTCTAAGGGGAACTAGCGCCCAATATCATAACCTACTCTCACCTAAAGTTACCTTTGAATATTATAAAATAAGTGTTAGACTGGGGATTCGGTTATAAGTTGCTGAGCAGTTAAAATCTAAGTGGAAGTGTTCCCCAAATTATTTCTAACAAGGCAGGAAGGCTCGTTATCCGTGCCGTGCCTATATGGATCTACTTCTACCTGGCAATTTCCCAGCTATAGCCAGGGTCTGCCTTATATGTTGTGAATAGTTTTGGCTATTTGTTATTTACGACCGGCCGCCTGCCTGACATCAACCCTCATTTGGGAATCAACATTAATCAGTGATGTCTAAATACTTTTAGCAAGTACATATGATTCGGAAAAATCACATTGGTACTTGCCCGGGCCAGTATCGAACCCGCGCCTTCGTGCATGAGAGGCGGGCCCTTTAACCACTAGGCCACCACTGACTTTTTGGATCATTCGCGAGTTATCCTGTCAACTGCTGATGACGAAGCCTAACCGGTGCCACATGTGATAAAGATGAAGAACCTAATCGACCTGGTAACAACTAACAAAACGTCAGAATGAGCAGGTAATAGATTATTATTTTTAAAAGCCAGATCTAGGAAAGCCGTTTCGGTTACTTTGCAGCAGTTGTGATTACGTTCAGACGAGTCGAAAATATTAGTTTTACTTAAATGGTTATCTATACTTATAATAAATCTGTAGAGAGGTCAATTCTGTACATAAAATATATTTAAAAAATAACTATCAAGAGGTGGTTAGGGATCGCTACTGATGCCAAAAATGCAATCAGTAAAATTTTTATCTGCCTGTCTGTCTGTATGTTCGTTATAGAAACAAAAACTACTTGGCGGATTTTAACGAAATTTGGCACAATTATTCTTCATACTCTTGGGCAGGTTATAGTATACTTTCATTATCGTACGGTCAATAGGAGCAGAGCAGTGAAAGGAAATATTGAAAAAACGGGAGAAGTTACTCCATTTTTTAAGTTTCCGTCGCGTGTGCTGGCTTATAGGTTAAAGCTACATAGAAATCATGTATGACGGAAAAATTCTCCTTAAAATTATATAAAAAAAATCTTGGTCAGCATATGTCTATCCTTTATGGTTGACTCACAATACCACTTGGAACTCCCGATAGCTTAGCATTTCGGAGATTTCTGATTGTATCTGTCTACTCTAACGTTTACAACACTATCACTCATTCCTTATTAAAAAAAGTTAACATTATTACCTATTCAATAAAAAAGAATCATGTAAATCGGTGTAGAAACACCAAAGTTATAAGCCATGAAATAATAAGTCATCATACAGACTCATGCTATAAGGATTATTTTTGTGTATCGGTTGCCGGTTAACATCGACTCCGTGTATAATTTCAATGTATTAACTATTTCCGCTAATTAAACAAATATTGAGTGAACATAAAAGTACAAAAAGTCAAGGAAATATATAATATTTTGAAGTTTCAGTGAAAAGCTAACTAAAAGTGCTCTAAAACAACAATAATACGAAACCACATTACATCAAAAATTACCGACTTTCTTAGTGTTAACTAAGGAGACTTAATATCTAACAGTGAATTGAAACCTAAGTTTTTTATTCTGCATTCCACTTATTTTGCCTTTTCTACTTAAATAAATTATTGATTCCGACATAACCTGAAAAGAAAGAAATCCACAATACATACATTAAGTCGTGTTCGATTATAATTTTACCAAAAATCGCCATCTCACGGCCACTGTCTAAAACAAGTCGTCAGTTGCTTAGTACAAAATAACGTTACAGAGCAGGTCACACAAAATATTAGTACTATGTTTGAAGAGAAGTTGTCAACAATAGAAAAGAATCATCAAAACTTGAAAGAAAAAGTGGAAAGTCAAGAAAAAAGGCTACAAGTCTTAGAAAAACAGGCAAAAAAAAATAATTTGGTATTTTTTGGTATAGAAGAGAATGAACAGTCTTATGCGAGTTTAGAAAAAAACTTTACCATATGGATGGACTAGTATCTATGTGTAAAAATAAACTACAACGACATTCAGGAAATCAAAAGAATAGGAATTAAAAAAGATGAAAAATTACGCCCAATAGTAGTGACTTTTTCAGCCCTAGGCGAAAAAATAAAAATTATGAAACAGAAAAGAGCCCTAAAAGATACACAATACTATATTAAAGAAGACTATGCAAAATATGTACTTGAAAAGAGAAGGGACCTGCAGGAACAACTACAATTTGAAAGAGAAAAAGGAAACTTGGCAAAAATAAAATACGATAAACTAATAATATTAAAAAACATCAAACGCAAATTGCCCCCCTCACCCGAATCAGGAAAAACAACGAATATAGAGACAAATTCACAAATAAATAAAAAGAATAAGCTACAGCAATTAAGCGAACCGCCCAAGAGGTCAAATAGTTTTTCAGAGGGAATAATAAAACAAGGAATATTAAACTATGTAGTAAAAATACTGCAAATAAAAACAACATTGAAAATAAACAAACATAGCAACTAAACGCCTCCTCCTCCTACAAAACAACGAATCGAAATTTAAGAAACATTCATAATCTTCCAAACAAAAAAATCCTCCACTTGGGTTGGTCACTACCATAACCCACCAAAGAAAACCACAATCCCAAATAAAAATAATACCATGCCAAATCACCAACTAGAACTGAGCAGCAGCAGATTAAAAAAAGAAAACACTGGAAAACAAAAACCGAAGATAGGGATAAGTGGAAATCTATGGAGGAGGCCTTCACACTCACATAGAGGTTCATGCGTGTTAACGCCATAAAACTAATAATAAAGAGTGTAATTACTTTAGCTAATTAATAATTTATAATAAAATAAATAAATAAATGACAATATAATATGAATTGTAACTGTATAGTAATTGTAATGTTTATAAGTAATGCAATGGAGTTATTATTCGAATTATTTAGAGCTTAATAATTTAACAATTAAACGCAACAAAATAAATTGTATAACCTAGAATAAAATTAAAATAATAACACAGAAAAATAAACAAATTATAAACATAATACAAAAACACAGAATACAAACAGCATTAACAATTATATAGTGAAGTATGAATTGCAATGAATTATTGATGTATTGATAATGATTATGCATGAAATAAAAGGCTTTTTTATTTATTTATTTATATAAAATTGGAAGAGTAAGGTAACTTCAGTTACCGTCGATTAAAAATACATAATGCCGCCTAAAAAAGACCATCTTTATCTCGAAATTCGAGAGATTCTAAAGGAATGAGAAATGCGCGGTCTCAAGAATCGGCAGAGGAAAGAGCTTATCAGTTAAACTCTATGAGAGTTAGTGCCTCAACCTCTCGAGCCAATGAAAGCTCTCACGAGAGAGAGATGCAATTAACAGCTGACAGAACTACATCACGGGCGTCTCAAAGCTGTTCTCAACGAGAGCTGAGGCTTATCATTGAACAAGAACAACATGTGTTATCCCGAGATGATGAAACTGCGTCACAACGAGAATCGCCTCTCGTACATTATCTCGAGAGTCAGAAACCTACACTGAGAGGGAATTGCGTCTCACTGCTGACCGCGAACGTCATATTTTATCTCGAGAATTTGAAACTTTTACTCAATATGAAGACCGTTTGACAAAAAATAATAAACACCATAATATTATTCGATCTCTCGAAGTTGAACATGGGCATGAACAACGACTAGAGTTATGACGCGAATATTACAGTTCTTTGAGACAAGAACGATTAGTAAGTTTGTCTAATGAAAGATTAGGAATCGATAGATGTACACATAGAAGATCAATCTAGAAATTGGGTGGCGTGAACCGATAAATATAAAAGTGCGTTTGCTTCTAACCCCACAATTGATTACGGATCATCTTCTGTAATAGGCTATATGAACGTGGCATGTCGTTTTTGTAATGCTTCAAAGTGGATTAAGGAGTCAGCTGGTTTCTGTTTTTCTCAGGTAAA